GTGTGTGTGTGTGTGTGTGTGTGTGTGTGTGTGTTAGTTGGGGGTAGGAAGTGGGGGGTTGAAGGCGGTGAACTCGAGCTTGGTGAGACCTGATGAAGACCAACGTTGAGTTTGGAATCTGCACAGTTTTTCTTTCCTGGTTTCTCCTGGATGAATGGGGCTCTTTCAGCTCCTGACCCTCTGCTTATACTCTCCTCTAATTTGACCCAAGGTCCCACTGCCAGCTTTTCAAACCTGGCTGTTTTGTCTCACCCGACTGCTTTTATTTTCATCCCAAACCTATCAGACAAAGTCAATATTTCACTTTTTTTTTTTTTTTTTTTGTCCAGACACACCTGACAGACAAGCCTGACTTTCCGGCAACTCTCTGATTAACCTGTTTGATTGTCTGGCTATGTGGATGGGAATTGGTTTTAGAACTTAAAAGATCAAGACAGAGTTATGACGGAACACATTTGGGGCAAAATGGGAAGGTAATTTTAAGAGTTGCAGAATAATATTGGGTTTTTCCTTGAATTGGTCTATGTTGGGCCTCAGCAGTACTTCTTCACTTAAAACGAGCTCCACAGATAGGTCTGTACAATTAATTAGCTCTGATATTTAAGAAGGTTGTCAATCACAAGTGAGCTCTGCATGCTTTCAGTCACGTTTTGCACCCAAAACAATTATTCACTTCTGAAGCTTTGAGACATTTTGTCACATTATCAGATCGCAAACCTGGACCAAATACTTTTTAAGAAGCTGATGATCTACTAAACCATGTAATTTTAACATGAAGACTTGTTCTTATTTCATCTGCTCCTTTTTTTGTTTGTTTGTTTGTTTGTTTGTTTGTTTGTTTGTTTGTTTGTTTGTTTGTTTGTTTTTTGTGAGATGTAGAAAGGCATTCAGATCTTTTACTTCAATTAATTAGTTCCATAGATAAACATTTTCTTTACCTGCTTGATCCTGTCCAGGGTCAAACACTGCAAAAAAAATGTCCACCTAACCAAGTTTTAAAATCTTATATCCAGCCAAAATGTCTTTTTGATCTTGTTTTGAGACTGATTTACTAAACAAGAACTGATTGTGTAAGAATAATGATCTTGTTCTCAGAATGTGTAAGATTATTTGTCTTGTTAGTCTGAAAAATTGGCTCAAATTAAGTAAAAATTTTCTGCCAAAGGAGTAAGAAAAAATTACTTGGTAAGATTCTTGAAATACTTGATTTGACTCATTTTTTTCTTATTTCAAGAATCGTACCAAGTAAAATTTTCTTACTCCACTGGAAGACAATTTTGACTTAATTTGAGTCAAATTTACAAACTAACAAGATAAATAATCTTACACATTCTGAAAACAAGATGATTATTCTTACACAAACAGTTCTTGTTTAGTAAATCAGTCTCAAAACAAGATCAAAAAGACTTTTTGGCTGGATACAAATTTTTAAAACTTAGTAAGATTGACAGTTTTTGCAGTGGGGAGCAAGTGCTTTTCTCCAAAAGTCACTGACTAAAATTTGGGGTGCAAAGTTCAACTCTAATGTGGTTTTTGTTGTTGAATGCACATTTATTAGAATTTTCATGAATCAATACACACAATACAAACTGCTAAATAATAACTTACGATATTATCTCTAATTTATGAAATAGGTTGAATTTTTAC